TTGGTGGTGAAAGCAAAATGTGCAGTACGGTAATGGATAATTAATTTTGAACTCCAGAAAAATAAAACATAAGGCTTGGCAAAGCAGGCAACTTGTGGTCAAAAATGACATTATTTCATCAAATTAGAACATCTGGAACTTCAGAGCACCTCCCATTTCAAGAATTTTGACCAAAATGACCTTTTCTTTATTTTAATTAATTTTTTCTGTAGGAAATTTATGGCACATTATGGTAACTGCAAAATTATAACATTTAGTCCCTTATATCTCCAAAACTGGCAGAGATAGGTCCATAGTTACTATTGAAGTTGAATAGAAAGTCATATACTGACCATTTTTAATTATAATTTTTTGTATATTTTGAGAACTCCTGTTGATTGCATTTTATAGAGCTTGTCAAGCACAAGACTGGTGATGGTGTCCCTTTTTGGAGGGGGGGTCCATACGAATGCGCTTACTCCAGCTGGTGGTACAATATCCGGAGGCGGTATCGCCTCTCTGATCCTCTATTTTTAATATTGATGCTGTATATTCTTGAGTTACAACAAAATTGCAGAACAAACTTCTTGCTGTTGTATATAATGATAATAAGTCAGTAAGTAAAAATGAAAATAAGTTTAGGGCTGCTTGTACACCAAAGCCACCTGGTGACAATGTACATAATTATACAAAGATGTACAAACTGAAGATAAAAGTATACAAGCTGTTCATTATACAGTAATAAGGTCATAATTTTTTACACTAAATCAATAACTTTATCTTCCCTAGGTGAAGCTGAGATGTCTTGTTCTAGAAGAGCAGCTGGTGGAGTTGATAGTTCTGGCCATGGAGAGATCAGAGAGTGAGGATACATCAACTGAAGGGAGTGTTGTCAGTCAGTTACTATGGCAACATTTGTCAAGTCAACTCATCTTTTTTGTCCTCTTTCAGTTTGCCAGTTTTCCACACATGGTGTCATCACTTTACAATAAGGTATGTTGTTGAATGTGGATGAAAAATGAATGCCATGTGTTTCTGTTTTCTAAATGTCCTATCAGCATGTTGTATCATCTCACTGACAAAGTAAATATGAAGTAAATGTAAAAAACTAAGGTGTTCATTCTAAACAAATCCCTCATGACGAAGAGCTGGACTTAAATCCACATATTCATGGGTGCTATGAAAGTATCTTTATGCTGTCATGTATATGAAGGGTCATTCCTTAATATGAAGAAGTTGAGTTTTTTGAAGGTACATGCAAAAAGATGTCTAAAAACGGTTCTTTTTAAATTTCAGCTGAAAGGCAGTAAGCTTCAGAAAGGCAGGAATCATTTGATGTGGGTTTTGCTGCAGTTTATATCTGGAAGCATACAGAAAAATCCAGTGAGTTATTCTAATGAGCTAAAGAATAAATGTATTTCTAACCTTTACGTCTTACTAGGTAATTTATTATTTGCTTGAATTATGGTGAGATCTTGGTTATTTGTTGTTTATTATGCAAACTGAATATATGATCATTTCTGTTGCAGCTTCAAGATTTCCTCCCAGTTTTAAAACTCTATGACCTGTTGTATACGGAGAAAGAACCTCTGAGTGTGCCTGATATAGAGAAACCCTATTCTACACTGTCCATGGCTGTCACCTGTATATGGATCCACCTGATAAGAAAAGCACAGACAGACAATGTGAAACTAAAAAGACCAGTGCCATATACTTTGAAGAATCATATGGAGTAAGAGATTTGTGTTTGATTTTTATAATCTTTTTTTTTTTTTTTTTTTTTTTGTATCTTTGTCAGTATATGGATACACTTAATTACATAGTACTGTATACTTACATATGTATAACTACATAATATGTGATGATGATTAGAAATGTTGAAAAGGATGTTGAATATTTCAGTTCCAACACTCATTATTTGTTTAAAAGTTATTTTATCATTATTTCAGTTTTTTAAAACAATGTTTAACAGTGAAGAACCAACCGATGCCAAACTACAGAATTGCTCTGCTGTGTAATGCTTGTAAGTTTGGGTTTTTGTCTCAACTCTTTCTTTAAATTCTTTCTTGTCTGTTTGAATTTTTCCTGTCGTTTATAGTGCAAAGTGTTAAATTCTTTCCTCTTTTGCTGTTAGATGATTTACTGCTACTTAAATATTAGACCTATCTCAGTGTGTAATATGTTTGTACCTCCAGACAGTACCAACACAGAATATTTCTCTGCCCCCATGAGCCAGCTACTGGAGATGATCTACGGCAATGGTCAAAGCACGACCCAGTTGCCTGGGAACATCACAGCCTCGGCCCCAAGTGAACCACTTCCTATGGATAAGCTAGACTCACTCACAGTGCATGCCAAAATGAGGTAGGTAACGATATGTTTTGTGTCAAGAAAGTCATAAACAGTGGGGAAGAACTTCATAAAAGTAAGCTGTATGCAGTGATTGCCTATTAGAGATGGGCTAAAAAGATACCAACTTTTTTCCCTTGTTATATTCAGTATGCAGTATAGAGAAAAGAATATCTGTTGATAAATTGACAAATACAGTATTGCCCTTAACTGAATCAAATTCTACAACATCATGTTGTCATTCTTTCTGATTCCAGCTTGATCCATAGTATTGTCACACGTGTCATCAAGCATGCCCATACAAAAAATACAGTAGCTCTTGCTCCAGCTTTGGTGGAGACATACAGCAGACTGCTTGTATATATGGAAATAGAATCTCTAGGAATTAAAGGATTTATCAGTAAGTCTATATTACATGACAAGGGTCTTGGCAGAGTGTTTCTAAAGTTACACATCTGTTTTAACTGTCCTTGATTAGATTATATCTAGGTAAATCTTTCCACTGTAATTGTCTTTTAGGATTTGATGTGAGCTATTTCTTTATTTTTTCTTAAATGAGCAGTTGTTTGGTTCCAATTATTTTTGTACATTTAGAAAGATCTGATAGCACAAAAGGAAGTTAATCATCAAGTGATTGCTTATGTCAAATTATACTGCTAAATATGACAAATTTCCATAACAGTGTCTTAAATAGTATAACTTAAAGAAATAATGCATGGTTTCATTCAATACTTACTGAAAATAATATTTACTCATATGTTTCCTGCTTACTTTCTGTCCTTTACGGATTGAAGGGAAATAATGTTTATGCACTGTAGACTGCATTTATATTCGATCCTGATAATGGAAAACAATTCTAATGTGACAATACTTGTAGGCCAGCTACTGCCCACAGTGGTGAAGAGTCGGGCCTGGGGAATCCTGCACACTCTGCTGGAGATGTTTATATACAGGCTGCATCACATACAGCCCCATTACAGAGTCCAGCTCCTCAGCCATCTTCACACTCTGGTTGCTCTCACCAACCAAAACCAGTTACACTTATGGTAAGGAAAGAGGACATGTCTGAGTTATCTTGTAAGATTATATGTGGTTATTCAGTTGGAGTGAATGGGATATTGTAGTTTAATTTGAAAAAAGGACTGATTAGAAATTCATGTTGATGTGTATTTTGTAAGCTGTGATAGGTCAACATAATTCTGGTATGATAACATGACTTGACATGTGCACTTGAAAGTGCTTTTGGTATTAGGTATTTGAATACATTTAAGTATTTTCCATGGTAGTTCCAACAAATACAATTTAATTTTGAAATTTCAGTGTTGAAAGCACAGCCCTGCGGCTGATCAATGGCTTAGGCAGTACAGAGGTCCAGCCACAGCTGTCCAGATTCCTGCAGGAACCCAAGTCTCTAGCTCTGTTGTCAAATGAATCTGAGGAACTGAACCGAGCCCTGGTGCTGACACTTGCCAGAGCCATGCATGTCACAGGTATGGTGCCTTGTGGAGAGGAATGATCAGTTGATTAACAGTGGAAGGCTGTGTCAAATATGTATATTGTTTTAAAAACATCATACTGTGTTTAATCCTTCATACAGTGCGAGCATTTGTACTTGGTTATTTGAATAGTGCTACAAATCGCAATAAACAATATTTCTTTAGACTCTCACTAATTTCCCAAATACTGTTTTTTTTTCATGTAGAAGAAATGTGTTGTTTTTGGAGACCAAATCCTATCAAAAAACTTTTTTTTTTTGGGGGGGGGGCAATATTTAAAACTGTTCATCTGTTCTTGATCTGTAAACTTTCTAGGTTATTAAAGATGGATACACAGTATTAAATCCTCCTGTATTCCTAGGCTCTGACTCCCTGTCCAACAACTGGTGTAAGGACATAATGACCACCATCATGCAACACACTCCCCATGGCTGGTCCAGTCACACCATTGCCTGCTTCCCTCCTGCACTGGCTGAGTTCTTCCAGCAGAATCCAGTACCGAGGGAGGAGAAGACCACACTGAAGAGGATGGTGGAGACGGAGTATAGGAAGTGGAAAAGTAAGAGATTTGTTACATGTGGTCAGCATGTGGTGTTCCTAATTGAATCAGCAACTTTTAATTATATCTGTGATTTGTTGAAATGATTACCAATAAGCACCCATGCATCAATGAATCTTTCCAGGTCATCCATTGAGCATGTGCAAGAGCACATTGATCTCAACCAAGTAGTGCTGGTAATGTTTAATTTACTGTACCTATGGTCACTGACTAAGATCAGAATAATGCTCATCTGAAGTCACCAATAAAACAGACTACAGTCTGTATTTGCGTGCATTGTGTGCATGCCTGTGTGTGTGTGTTTGGGGAGGGGGAGGGGGGCATTGCATTTACATATTTTAAATCCCATGCAAAAAGATCTGGTCATCTACTGACATCAGGTAGGCTAGTTTTGTGTTAGTTATCCTATTTGCAAACAATATCCCTTGTTACGCTGTGATTAGTTCAACTTGTATTACTATATGAAATATAGTTAGTTTACATGCTATGTCTCTCTATATATAAGACTTGGTCTAATATATACCTGTGATGATGAAATATGAACTTCAGACTCCTGTGAAGATTCAATTTTGTCCTCTAAGAAGTACTGAACAGGTATAATGACATCTTCACATTCTGTTTGATAAGACTTTCTTGACTTTCCTTTGAAACATTTTGATTTATATATCTAATTCAGGCATGAACAACGAGAGTGATCTGATAGCTCATTTTTCAATGCAGGGAACTCCTCCACTATTTATATGGTAAGATTATCTTTGTGAGATCAGGTAGTATACAACATAAAAAGGGCATCTATAGTTTTTGTAAATGAAAACTGACATTAGTGATGAGTGGCATGTTGTCAATAATTTAAAGAAGAATATTTATAACTTTCATTAGATTTTAGTACAAATTTTAATAAAAAAAGGGGGGGTTAAAATTGTGTCTTCTTGAAAGTGTAGGAAACAAGTTTGAACACTTGCAAGTCAGATATGAGATAAGATGTCAATGACAGAATCCTTTGTTGTTATAGCATCATATGGCGCTGTCTGCTGGAGGATGGGAGGGTGTCTACCACAGCTTACAAGTAAGTAGATACTTGGAGAAAACACACTAAGGCCCGTATTCCAGAATCTCTCTTTATCGTTAAGGGAGTCTTAATGTCGACCTTATACGAAATTTGTATTCCAAGACCTTTCTTTATCTCACTTGAAAGGAATCACTTAACAATCATCCTTAGCAAAGGAATCGGTCATTTCTAGAATCAGCCTTTGCTTAAAGATTTCCTTTATTTTCGGCTGAGGAGTCCTTAAAATGTAAGGTTGGTCTCGAGTAACTTTTAGTCTTCCTTAAGCAGCCATTGTGTACAGTTCTCTTGTGAAAATCAGCTCCATGGGGGACTATGTAAACCAACTGGTGTGTCTTTATGATGTCAACAGGAATGCAAGATGCATGAGAACACGCCTACCTAAATTCAATGAAGACGACTTCACTGATGACGATTTCTTTGCAAGGTTCCGTTTCTCGAAAAAGGGCTTCAACTACTTTTTTATTTTTTCAATTGATACCATTCAATTTTGTTAAAAAGGAATGTTGCAAATTCAGCACTTCCATTCTGTGTTCATGTTCCTCTTTTTGAAATTTAATTCTGTCCTGCAGATATTTCATTTGGAGGTTGTGCTCTTCCTTCTGCATAGCTAATGTTGAATGCATTGCAACACCACAACTGACGCAAGATGGAGATTTACTTCCAGATTTCCCTTTCGCCTTAGATGTAGATGGCTCTGTGTCCCTGACTGATGTGGGGTCAATGCTGCTACATTCTTCCATTACTAAGGCTTCATCCAAATATGAGGAATCCTTATCATCATCAGATTCTGGATGGCCGACAGACGCACTGGCAGTCAATTTCGGTTTCTTTGCTGGAAAAAAAGAGACACCTTTCCAATATTTATATTACAATGTTGAATAATGATATTTATTAACGAGTGCCTAAATGATTCGAACAATTACCAGCAAACAGTTATCTGACCCTAAAGTCATGATAAAGAAAAAAGTACCTTGGGGTTCATGGTATCCCGTATCATCGTCAAAGGCGTTGTTGAGAGGGTGCAGAACTTCACTACAGAAAGAAGTAACCATGTGGGAGAGATCCTCTGCAACGGTTTCAACTTTTCCACCTCCAGTTAATTGGCAAGATTTCTCCTCCTTGGCAACATCTTTTTTCGCTTTTGTCTTCAGGTTGTCAACTACTTTCTTCAGCTGAGATGAACTGACAGGCTTTACTCCAGGCTGGCCATTGAATTTACTTGTAATCCTGTCCCATGCCTCTGCTTTAGAAGTGATTATTGTACCACCAGCGTTAGCGCTGGCGGTACACATGGTTTCGGTCTCGTCCGGATCGTTCCGCCGGCTCCGCCGGACGGCTACCGTTACCGCTTCTCCTCCTAGACGGTAAGGNTTATTGTATATGTCAAATTATACTGCTAAATATGACAAATTTTCATAACAGTGTCTTAAATAGTATAACTTAAAGAAATAATGCATGGTTTCATTCAATACTTACTGAAAATAATATTTACTCATATGTTTCCTGCTTACTTTCTGTCCTTTACGGATTGAAGGGAAATAATGTTTATGCACTGTAGACTTAAGTTCTAGACTGCATTTATATTCTATCCTGATAATGGAAAACAATTCTAATGTGACAATACTTGTGTCCCACTAGGCCAGCTACTGCCCACAGTGGTGAAGAGTCGGGCCTGGGGAATCCTGCACACTCTGCTGGAGATGTTTATATACAGGCTGCATCACATACAGCCCCATTACAGGGTCCAGCTCCTCAGCCATCTTCACACTCTGGTTGCTCTCACCAACCAAAACCAGCTACACTTATGGTAAGGAAAGAGGACATGTCTGAGTTATCTTGTAAGATTATATGTGGTTATTCAGTTGGAGTGAATGGGATATTGTAGTTTAATTTGAAAAAAGGACTGATTAGAAATTCATGTTGATGTGTATTTTGTAAGCTGTGATAGGTCAACATAATTCTGGTATGATAACATGACTTGACATGTGCACTTGAAAGTGCTTTTGGTATTAGGTATTTGAATACATTTAAGTATTTTCCATGGTAGTTCCAACAAATACAATTTAATTTTGAAATTTCAGTGTTGAAAGCACAGCCCTGCGGCTGATCAATGGCTTAGGCAGTACAGAGGTCCAGCCACAGCTGTCCAGATTCCTGCAGGAACCCAAGTCTCTAGCTCTGTTGTCAAATGAATCTGAGGAACTGAACCGAGCCTTGGTGCTGACACTTGCCAGAGCCATGCATGTCACAGGTATGGTGCAGTGTGGAGAGGAATGATCAGTTGATTAACAGTAGAAGGCTGTGTCAAATATGTATATTGTTTTAAAAACATCATACTGTGTTTAATCCTTCATACAGTGCGAGCATTTGTACTTGGTTATTTGAATAGTACAACAAATTGCAATAAACAATATTTTTTTAGACTCACTAATTTCCCAAATACTATTTTCTTTTGTTTTCATGTAGAAGAAATGTGTTGTTTTTGGAGACCAAATCCTATCAAAAACTTTAATTTTTTGGGACAATATTTAAAACTGTTCATGTGTTCATCATTATTCTATTAACTTTCCAGGCTATTAAAGATGCATACACAATATTAACATCTCCTGTATAATACTGTATTTGTAGGCTCTGACTCCCTGTCCAACAACTGGTGTAAGGACATAATGACCACCATCATGCAACACACTCCCCATGGCTGGTCCAGTCACACCATTGCCTGCTTCCCTCCTGCACTGGCTGAGTTCTTCCAGCAGAACCCAGTACCGAGGGAGGAGAAGACCACACTGAAGAGGATGGTGGAGACGGAGTATAGGAAGTGGAAAAGTAAGAGATGTGTTACATGTGGTCAGCATGTGGTGTTCCTAATTGAATCAGCAACTTTTAATTATATCTGTGATTTGTTGAAAAGACTACCAATAAGCACCCATGCAGTAATGAATCTTTCCAGGTCATCCATTGAGCATGTGCAAGAGCACATTGATCTCAACCAAATAGTGCTGGTAATGGTTAAATTTACTGTACCTATGGTCACTGACTAAGATCAGAATAATGCTCATCTGAAGTCACCAATCAAACAGACTACAGTCTGTATTTGCGTGCATTGTGTGCATGCCTGTGTGTGTGTGTTTGGGGAGGGGGAGGGGGGCATTGCATTTACATATTTTAAATCCCATGCAAAAAGATCTCGTCATATACTGACATCAGGTAGGCTAGTTTTGTGTTAGTTATCCTATTTGCAAACAATGTCCCTTGTTACGCTGTGATAAGTTCAACTTATATTACTATATGAAATATAGTTAGTTTACATCCTATGTCTCTCTATATATAAGACTTGGTCTAATATATACCTGTGATGATGAAATATGAACTTCAGACCCCTGTGAAGATTCAATTTTGTCCTCTAAGAAGTACTGAACAGGTATAATGACATCTTCACATTCCATTTGATAAGACCTTCTTGACTTTCCTTTGAAACATTTTGATTTATATATCTAATTCAGGCATGAACAACGAGAGTGATCTGATAGCTCATTTTTCAATGCAGGGAACTCCTCCACTATTTATATGGTAAGATTATCTTTGTGAGATCAGGTAATATACAAAATAAAAAGGGCATCTATAGTTTTTGTAAATGAAAACTGACATTAGTGATGAGTGGCATGTTGTCAATAATTTAAAGAAGAATATTTATAACTTTCATTAGATTTTAGTACAAATTTTAATTTAAAAAAAAGGGGGGGGGGTAAAATTGTGTCTTCTTGAAAGTGTAGGAAACAAGTTTGAACACTTGCAAGCCAAATATGAGATAAGATGTCAATGACAGGATCCTTTGTTGTTATAGCATCATATGGCGCTGTCTGCTGGAGGATGGGAGGGTGTCTACCACAGCTTACAAGTAAGTAGATACTTGGAGAAAACACACTAAGGCCCGTATTCCAGAATCTCTCTTTAGCGTTAAGGGAGTCTTAATGTCGACCTTATACGAAATTTGTATTCCAAGACCTTTCTTTATCTCACTTGAAAGGAATCACTTTAACAATCATCCTTAGCAAAGGAATCAGTCATTTCTAGAATCAGCCTTTGCTTAAAGATTTCCTTTATTTTCGGCTGAGGAGTCCTTAAAATGTAAGGTTGGTCTCGAGTAACTTTTAGTCTTCCTTAAGCAGCCATTGTGTACAGTTCTCTTGTGAAAATCAGCTCCATGGGGGACTATGTAAACCAACTGGTGCGTCTTTATGATGTCAACAGGAATGCAAGATGCATGAGAACACGCCTACCTAAATTCAATAAAGACGACTTCACTGATGACGATTTCTTTGCAAGGTTCCGTTTCTCGAAAAAGGGCTTCAACTACTTTATTATTTTTTTCAATTGATACCATTCAATTTTGTTAAAAAGGAATGTTGCAAATTCAGCACTTCCATTCTGTGTTCATGTTCCTCTTTTTGAAATTTAATTCTATCCTGCAGATATTTCATTTGGAGGTTGTGCTCTTCCCTCTGCATAGCTAATGCTGAATCCATTGCAACACCACGACTGACGCAAGATGGAGATTTTTTCTCAGATTTCCCTTTCGCCTTACACCCCATTTCCATAGATTAGATCAACCTACTTTGGATCGACCTAACTCCCTGGGGGATCGCGCTGAATAGCTGTCAGCCGGGCGGACACGAAAATTAATTGCCCCTTACGGCTTGTAGTGGGCGGGGACGGACACTTAAGGGGGATTATCTGACGGTAGTCTGGTGAGACTCCCCGCGGTGATAGATCGATCTAAAGTTGTGGGAACAGACCCTTAGATGTGGATGGCTCTGTGTCCCTGACTGATGTGGGGTCAATGCTGCTACATTCTTCCATTACTAAGGCTTCATCCAAATGTGAGGAATCCTCATCATCATCAGATTCTGGATGGCCGACAGACGCACTGGCAGTCAATTTCGGTTTCTTTGCTGGAAAAAAAGAGACACCTCTCCAATATTTATATTACAATGTTGAATAATGATATTTATTAACGAGTGCCTAAATGATTTGAACAATTACCAGCAAACAGTTATCTGACCCTAAAGTCATGATAAAGAAAAAAGTACCTTGGGGTTCATGGTATCCCGTATCATCGTCAAAGGCGTTGTTGAGAGGATGCAGAACTTCACTACAGAAAGAAGTAACCATGTGGGAGAGATCCTCTGCAACGGTTTCAACTTTTCCACCTCCAGTTAATTGGCAAGATTTCTTCTCCTTGGCAACATCTTTTTTCGCTTTTGTCTTCAGGTTGTCAACTACTTTCTTCAGCTGAGATAAACTGACAGGCTTTACTCCAGGCTGGCCATTGAATTTACTTGTAATCCTGTCCCATGCCTCTGCTTTAGAAGTGATTATTTTGTTTGTATTCCCACGCTGATGGAGGATAGGCTTTTCTCTGTTGACTAGATGCATCAGGAGCTGCTTTTCGATATCAGAAAAGGGTCTACAACCTTTGGTTTTCTCATCCTCCAAACCATTCTTTTCTCTTCTTGGCATTCTTGCTTTATTCACTAAATTTGGTTTAGATCAAAACATCCCCATACAGTGATAATGTCCATATGCACTGTTGCATGATTGAAGCTGAGGAGCTCTTTTATGTCATTGTCCCTTACCTAAAGGCTGACTTTTGTCAAAGTAATTCCTTATCAAAGGAGAGGCTAAAGTGTGGTCTTAGAATACCATTTCGTCAGGCCTTCCTTTACCAAGGAACACCTCATCAAAGGAAGCCTTTATAAAAGTTGACCTTAGGATTATTTTATGGAACATCTTGGAATACGGGCCTAAATGTTCACAAATATTCAGTACACTTTCTAAATATCTTATCTTTTGCAACATTAAGTTATGGTTTGATATAAAAATGTTTTATTTTGTGCTTAAACTATGCTGGTGAAAATTGCATTTATTATGATAGTGAAAATAATAGAGCATATTTTGCAATTGTTTTATTTTTTTAGGGTATTGGAGAGGTTAGGATCAAAGACATTATCCCAGCATCTCCGTACATTTGCAGATTATTTAGTATTTGAATTTGCCACGTCAGGTGGAGGGCAACAAGTTCAAAAGGTATGGCAGGGAATGTTAATAGCTATTGTTGTAACTATAAGGTTAGCAAAGTTCAAAATAGAGCAATAGGTATGACATTATGATGTATGACAGGTATTAATTCTAGATTTGGCACTAATTTTAGAGAAATGTGAAAATTGACCATTTATCTGACCATGACAGATGAAAATGCAGCATTTGTGAGTAAATACATAATTCATGAATCCAGTTTTATTTTTATTTTTAGTGTGTTAATGCACTCAATGACATGGTGTGGAAGTGTAACATAGTCACAATAGACAGGCTGGTATTATCATTGGTAAGTTGTTTCACATTGGTTAAGACAGAAATATTGTATGGATTACATTCATTTTTCCTACTGCTGGTCCTTGTTATTCACACATTAAGTCCATAAATTACTTTTCTTTTCAAATTAAAATTCTGTATTATTTCCTTCCTGTGTTAGATGGCATTTTAAAGTCTAAAAGGCTACTCAAGATATTTGTATGATGCATTCTAGGCTCTGCGTAACCTTGAAGGCAATGAAGCTCAGGTGTGCTGCCTGATCATACAGCTAATACTTCTGAAGCCTCCAGACTTTACCAACAGAGTCAAGGACTTCGAAAGTGAGGTAAATTATAGTATAAAAACATGGTGAGGTTATTTTATATCATTTCTTGCATGAACTATGAATTCTGCTTAGTAACTTATTCAATGTATGATGACACGATTGCCAAATAATGAAAACAATTCATCTTTCAAATAAGAAACTACAGGTAAATGTGATTTCAATTATTTCATTCCTAGAACTCCCCAGCACATTGGAAGCAGAAGAACTGGCATGAGAAACACATGGCATTCCACAGGGTGAGGACATCTTTATCATCACATTGATTGCTTAGGCTCACACAAGAAAATATATAATCTTTACTGAATCAAAATTGCCAGCTTTTCATCATATCATATGAAATTTCACTAAAGTCAAACATTTCTCATTTTAAGTAATTATGTGTAACCTTTGATATTTGAAAATAATCAGATGGTTCTGACTGCAGAAAAAAAATGGGTGTGGCCCATTATCCCAATTAAGTAAATGATCTTATGACAGGTGCTGCCCTCTGTGGCCACTATAACTTTCAGTGTCTGTTGGAAACTCTCCTGTTTAACTACAGCATGTGAAAGATGATAAATAGCTCTTCAGGGGAATGTCAGCTTCTAATACTGGGAAACTTAGGGGGTCTGTTATAAAATTTTATGATGTGTGAAATTTAGTACAGTATTGTATGGTCTTTTTATTGTCATCTTTTGGCAGCAAATTTTAGCAGCATGTATCAATATAATAAACATACCATTTTTTTTCAAAATGTAGAAATATCCTGAGAAGTTTTATTATGAAGGTCTACAAGATCTGAGCAGTCCCTCCCAGCACCAGTACCTGCCAGTGTATTTTGGCAATGTCTGCCTCAGATTTTTACCTGTAAGTAGAGGTCATTTATAAGTAAATTTGACAAGAGCATAATTTTTATGCAAAGTATTGTAATGCTTGATTGTCTTTCATTTCTTTCTTTCTAAAGGTTTTTGTCATTAAAGAGAGCACAGACCTCTGCCAAGGCAGCGGTTTTTGATTATTATTGATTGATTATTGATCCGGATCACCACCAAAACCTAATCATCTCTTCCTTGGCCCACTTCTGACAGTTCCTGAAAATTTCATCAAAATCGGTCCATAAATTTTTGAGTTATGTTGATGACTGACAGACAAATAAACAGACAGACAAACAGGGGTGAAAACATAACCTCCTTGGCGGAGGTAACTATGATCTATCAATTCTTTTTTTTTTTTTCTTCAGGTACTTGACATAGTAATCCACAGGTTTCTGGAGCTGCCCAGTGCCCAGGTGTCCAAGTCCCTGGAAAACATGCTGGATCACATGGGAAAGCTGTACAAGTTCCATGGTAAGCAGCTGTGGATTAACCATATTATTGAAATAAAGGTGCAGTCATATTGGCTATGAATGATGAAATATTAACTCCTTATGCGAGTGAAGATCGAGGCATGTCCTATTAAAAATACTGAACAGGTAAATGTAATGTGTTTGAAAAAAAAGGTGACATGTATGTAGATGTTTTTATCATAGAAGAGTGGTATAGACTAGATATTTGCCTGTTAATGAAATATGTCATTTTGTATGAAAAGTATCCTAATACACCAATCTGTTTTTACACTTTACCCATTCCTTCTTACTGGCTACGGACTTGGGCATAATCGGATGCCTGTCTCTTTACATATTGCAAGCTCATTAACTGATACAATTATTGTTGAATATTTGTTTTCATATTGTTCCAGACCGCCCTGTGACGTACCTCTACAACACCTTACATTACTATGAGAAGAGACTCAGAGACAGGCCAGCTTTAAAGAGGAGACTTGTGCAATCTATAATAGGTATGGATACCATTTACTCATATTACAGTTTTCTACTTGAAATAGATTAAATTTGTTGTGCTATCGAGCTAAATTAGCTTAATCTGCTGTGTTCCACAACACTAACTGAAGAAATAATTGCATTTCATATGTGAAAATGTGTTAAAACATTTACTTCAGGTGCTTTCAAGGATATCTACCCTGCCACCTGGTGTGTGTCAGAGGACTATGTGAGTTATATGCAGAGGCCAGCAGATGACATTGACTGGGTGCCGAGTGAGGAGTATTACATCAAACTGCTGGCCAGGATTGTAGACAATATCCTTGCTGTTTTTATGTCCACAGCTTGTTCTACAATCGCTGCAAGAACTGTAGTTCTTTTTCTCTAATTTCCACTGTTCAGTTTGGAGATAAACTAGATTTATTGTACCACCAGCGTTAGCGCTGGCGGTACACATGGTTTTAGTCCCGTCCGGTCCGTTCCGCCGGCTCCTGCGGCTCCGCCGGCTCCGCCGGCTCCGCCNGGCGGAGGTAACTATGATCTATCAATAATTTTTTTTTTTCTTCAGGTACTTGACATAGTAATCCACAGGTTTCTGGAGCTGCCCAGTGCCCAGGTGTCCAAGTCCCTGGAAAACATGCTGGATCACATGGGAAAGCTGTACAAGTTCCATGGTAAGCAGCTGTGGATTAACCATATTATTGAAATAAAGGTGCAGTCATATTGGCTATGAATGATGAAATATTAACTCCTTATGCGAGTGAAGATCGAGGCATGTCCTATTAAAAATACTGAACAGGTAAATGTAATGTGTTTGAAAAAAAAGGTGACATGTATGTAGATGTTTTTATCATAGAAGAGTGGTATAGACTAGATATTTGCCTGTTAATGAAATATGTCATTTTGTATGAAAAGTATCCTAATACACCAATCTGTTTTTACACTTTACCCATTCCTTCTTACTGGCTACGGACTTGGGCATAATCGGATGCCTGTCTCTTTACATATTGCAAGCTCATTAACTGATACAATTATTGTTGAATATTTGTTTTCATATTGTTCCAGATCGCCCTGTGACGTACCTCTACAACACCTTACATTACTATGAGAAGAGACTCAGAGACAGGCCAGCTTTAAAGAGGAGACTTGTGCAATCTATAATAGGTATGGATACCATTTACTCATATTACAGTTTTCTACTTGAAATAGATTAAATTTGTTGTGCTATCAAGGTAAATTAGCTTAATCTGCTGTGTTCCACAACACTAACTGAAGAAATAATTGCATTTCATATGTGAAAATGTGTTAAAACATTTACTTCAGGTGCTTTCAAGGATATCTACCCTGCCACCTGGTGTGTGTCAGAGGACTATGTGAGTTATATGCAGAGGCCAGCAGATGACATTGACTGGGTGCCGAGTGAGGAGTATTACATCAAACTGCTGGCCAGGATTGTAGACAATATCCTTGCTGTTTTTATGTCCACAGCTTGTTCTACAATCGCTGCAAGAACTGTAGTTCTTTTTATGTACAGACACAGATGTGTCTGTACATATAGCCATCATCTGCGTNGTTTTGATTAGGCATTAAAAGGTCAACATTTGAACAGGTTTATATTAAAACATTTTTATAAGATCTTTAGAAATAGAAACAAACTTTGTGAAATTTACCACCTTAACTGTAGTCACCAATAGCAGGGAAAACTCCTTCACCCTTTCTGAACTGTGACTGGAGGTTTAATGAGTTCCCCAACCCTGCTGCTCATGCTCTCCATGCTACATGTATAGAGCTGATGGCCCTCCCTGTGGCTAGTGCTACAGTAGGCTCTGCTCTCATGGATACTGTCCTGAAAAAAGTGAGTAAAACCTTTTTAACTATTCCTTGACATACAGAAAGGGGCGCTTCTCTTTGATCATCTCCACCAGTGTGGTTATGTTTTTACCTTTGTTTGTTTGTTAGTTAAATCAGAAAGTGATGAGTTTTGATAAAATTTTCAGGATGGGACAGAAATTGCCAACTGAGAATATGTTGGATTTGGTCTTTTTAATGATAATAAGGATTGAGCTGTCTTGGCAGAGGTCCATTCTTCAGGTGCTTCCTAGTAATTTCAATGTTTTCCTTATCCGTCTTTTACACTCATATTTTTTAAATATCATTACCTCTTAATTTAAATATATGATGATTGGCAGTTAACACACCTTTATCTCACCTTTCAGCAAACGTTTGTAAAAAAAAATTGCCAATTATGGGCACCTGATGTATATTTGAATTTTTTCTCTTTTTTTGCCATTTCCAGTGCTGCCCAAGTGCCCAGAGAGCAAATCATGTCCTGGATGAATGCAGTGGGCCTCATTCTCACTGCATTGCCTGTAAGTACCAAATCACTACTGAAGTTACACCAAACTTAATGTTTGCCTAAAGTAATGTTTTTTTCTCACACCATCAAGACAACCTACTGATTCACGTCCCCTTCTGCTTGCTTTACAGGACAGTTATTGGATGGTCATCAATGAAAAGATATTATTTGCTGTCCAGACACCAATCTTAGCAAACTTCAAACCGTTTGAGATCTTCAACTTCTCCACCAGCCATGCAGTGTTTGGAGAAGTGCAGTGTAGCTATGTCCTGGCCCTGTGTCATGCCCTGTGGCACCATGCTAGCATTGGGCAGATCAGTATTCTTCCACAGTAAGTATAGAGAAGGGAAGGACTACTGTGTCATGCCCTGTGGCACCATGCTAGCATTGGGCAGATCAGTATTCTTCCACAGTAAGTATAGAGAAGGGAAGGACTATTGTGTCATGCTCTGTGGCACCATGCTAGCATTGGGCAGATCAGTATTCTTCCACAGTAAGTATAGAGAAGGGAAGGACTATTGTGTCATGCTCTGTGGCACCATGCTAGCATTTTGCAGATCAGTATTCTTCCACAGTAAGTATAGTGAAGGGAAGGACTATTGTGTCATGCCCTGTGGCACCATGCTAGCATTGGGCAGAGTAGGGCCCTGTAACTCAAAAGCATCATGCATTGTGACCGAGCACAAGCGTCTCAATTCTATAACTCATCCATACTTGCCCCATTTAATACATTGTAGACTCTATGTGATATCGCTATTCGCAATACACTATGCTTTCGAGTTACGGGCCCTGTATTCTTCCACAGTAAGTATAGAGAAGGGGAGGGCCAATGTGTCAATTTATTGGGCACAATAAGAACAAGGGAGATTTGTGCTGTGTGCATGCATGTGTGCTAAGACACACTTTTGTGACAGCGTATTGTTAGAAACAATAGATGTGTCTAGTGTGCACTTGTGTATTAGGTGGAGTGAAGAAGAAATATAATTGTACACAAAATAGGTTGTTCGGGCAAAGTTGATTCTTCCTAACACATTTCAATGATCTAAGGAAACGGTGCCAAAGAAGTACCTATCGGTTAGCAACTAGTTTAAAACATGTTTGGCAGATCATTTGAAGTCGGACACTATTTTGTCCAGGTTCATCAAGGAGCAGCTGAAGCCAGTGGTTCACACTGAGGAACAGTTTCTATTCATCTGCCATCTGGTGGGGCCATTTCTACAGAGGTTTTATGCTGAGAGAACCAGGTGTTTGTTAGAGGTAAGGAACTGTACTGCCCCACTTTAAATCTCAGTATACAGACTCTTGTGGCCAGAAATGTGGGTTTTTGGTTGTTGATTGTATCAGTTTTTCATAATAAACCTCCCACTGTTGTCAGTATTCTGAAAACAGCAATATTGAGGTTGGCGAAAAATGAGGTCAAAACAATGCAAAATTTGACTTTGTTTAGATATTTGCAGAATCATTATAGTATCAACTGGCGTCATGAAGATACCCAGTTGCATTCAATAGCACTTATGGTGCCAAGTATTGTTATAATAACAGTTTAAACAGTCTCTTGATAACAACAGGCACATACAGAGAATGTCATAACAACATACTTGTTGTTGCCAAATTCATTTAAGTGCATGAGGGAGTTTTGCCAAGATTAAACTATTTTTTTGTGATTTTCACCTTTCACCCTACCATGGCATATGTTGGTCACATTGCTTCAACTGTAAATGTTTGGTGTGCTTAGATACCTCACATTTCTAGGATAAAGCAATCCAGTGTGTTATAGTTGGTGCACTTATAAATAAGATTTTGTCTTTATTTCCATTTTAGTTTGTGGTGGACCTGTACGAGATACTAGAGAAAGTGGACAAGGCGTGTGAACACCTATTTCACATGGATTCCATCTCAGATTTCCTGTATCCTTTCATTAAATGCTTTTATACTCTTCTATTACTACTTACTATGTAACTACTTCTGTGCAAATAGTTCCAGGCCACCATGTTTGTGGCAACTTCTAAGTGGATTTCATCCTTTAAGACATACTAGGATGATTGGGCATCCCATAATTCTTAATAGGATTTTGTAGAAGTGCCCTTCACATTCCAAATTTAGCTTTATTGTTGTAGTTAAAAAGTATATGTAAAGAAATCAATCTCATATGCTTCCTTGACTTATGTCACCAGTTATCACATCAAGTATATGTTTGTTGGAGATGGAGTGAAGGCCGAAGTGGATAAAATCATATTCAACTTGAGGCCAGCTCTAAAACTGAGGCTACGTTTTATTTCACAGAGAGGCAAGGAGGAAACGCCTCAACCCAGCCAGTAACATAGCTTCAGCAGTTTTGATGGACTCAGCATTATTATAATGATTACTGACCTTCGATCTTACAGGATTATGTGAGGTGGCTATGTGTTGTTGATAAGGTTTTTAAAATCAACTTTTGCCAAAGATAAATTGATATTTTTTTGTAAATCAGAGTTCACATCTGTTGCTTAAAGAACCTCTTTCCAAGTGACAGACTACCAAGTAATCAGCCCAATCAGGAGAGAGAAAACTTAAAGGGGGGGATGTGATCTCCACAAAAGGTGGCAGTATTCATGACATGCTTTGAGCTGTCATGTTAATAAATAAGAGATCAAAAATTCGTATTTACAGTTATCTTAAGTACATACAATAAACTTGCGCAATAAAACAATCATGTTAAATATTAAGAGTGGTCTCCAGATGTCCCTGTGCACCCTAAAAATAAAGACAGCAGTAGTCACTTATCTGTGAAAAGCTTGCTACACAAAATCCTTGTCTTTGTACAGTAAATGTCTATAATTTTTGAAGTACAAAATGTTTATTTACATGGAAATTGAAAATACACATCTTAATCAGAGACCAGCTTGGCACCAGAAATAAAGTGACAATACTTGTTAACAAAATAAAGGTGCCTCCAAATGTTTTTATAACTCCCATTTATATACATGCTGCTGACAAATGAACAAACAAAACGTGTTCTTAAAAGTGAACAAATAATGGTGATGATATATTTGAAAATATTTTAACAATGCAGTTTATCCCAGATAAAGACTTAACGTCTAGAAAACAAACTGATGCACATGCAGCCTGATACCAACATTGGTAATGTATAACAAATACATTGCACTTTCAAAAATATTTTTATGTCAAACCTTTGTTAATGTTCTGTACTATAATACAACCTCAACTGACACCTTGAATTTACCCTAAATTAAGTAAGATACTTTTTTCAAATTTGGTCTAAAACCAAAATGCAGGAAAAGACTAACAACACTCCATTTCAAGGACATTAATTGTCCAAATGTTTCATGTTTTTCCCCTTTACTGGCATAAAGACAACTAAATATTTGTCAAATGTAACAAAAGAGAAATATGCCTTAAAATTTCATCACAAATACTGTTATATCTAACAACATAAACTAGTTGCACATGACTAAGGAGATCAGTATGCAGGATAATTGTCAGTGACTAAAAAAAAACCTGCAACTTGTTAAAAAAATTGGAAAGTACATGCAACAAAAGAAAATAATAATCTGAAAAATGAGAAAAAATCCTCCACCTTTATACTAGGCAATGCTTGTTTACAACATAATTGTACAGGGAAAACAATGTTCAGATATCTACCTCATAACAGAAAATTTTGGAAGGTGAAAAATGTACCATTTTAAACTAAAGTGTTTAACACTCGGGTTACTTCTAATGGATTTCGGATTTCTTTCATATCTAATTTACATTTCAAAAGTTCTTTGGTCCTATCCAACACTAGATTTTAGCTGTAAAATATATATTTAGCAAAAATATATCTAACTTTGAGCCATCCTATGAATTATTTTGGTGTAGGTTTATTTATTAATTCTACTTTTTTCCTATATTTTAACAAGGGTTGGTACAAAATGGGCTTTAAAACCTAGTCTTCTCATAATTTAGTGGAAAATGTTCATATAATGACAATCCATAACAGGACAAGAAAGTAAACAACAGCTGATGATCTGCCACCCAAATACTGTACAGTTCTTATGGAATAAATCATGGTTTTCCACGATTTCCTCAGCATTAAAGACTACATATAGTTAAGGGAAATTAATGATTTTCCCAGCACTCAATTAAGTTTCTTAAAAGATAATCTTCATAGGCAATATATTCTAACGTGACAAAGGCAAAGCCCAATTGTATAAAGCATATTTTTTTTTTATCAATCACTGAAAGATATACCGACTACACTTTTTTTTAATAAACTGTCTTAATGAGATATAAAACGATGGTCTTGTGCATGTTTAAAAAAAAAAAACAACAACAACAAAAAAAAAATCCATTTCATCCACAGAAAACTTCATGACATTTGTATCATCTTTTCATACAACTTAAAATCTAGTGTGTGTGAACCTGGACTTGACAACTAAAGCCTACAAAGTCAAACATTCACCCAGTTTTGGCACCTGGTTAAAATGGTAAAAAGCTTCTTAAAAAATCTACAGCAGATGTTTTTAACTACAAATTGGATTGTGTTTGCAGATATGCCACTTTCCTAATCAAACAACAAATGCTAGCAAAATCTGATTAACAATAACTAGCAAATAAATGTCTTAAAATGCAGCTTCATTAAAGTTGACTATAAACTGTGTACAATGCCTGGTTCTGCAGGTGCATCCTCTTCAACTTCTGAAAAAGATTTAAAAATAAAACTAAATCATCTTACTATTCTGCTCTTGAGAACAGACAAACTCAAAAATCATATTTCATTGCTATAAAGGCATCAGCCCCCTTTTTAAATCCTACAAGAAATCCGATACCAGGAAGCTCTCAAAGATTATATCTGTTAAATCATACATCATTTTCTTACATTTAAGAAGGTTAAGCCAACCTACTACTAGGCAGTTAACTAATTGAAAATACTTTTCTAGCCCTCAGCTATCATAGTTAAGTTAATATTTAAGAATATATACGGTATGGAAAAAAATATGCAATCAATCCAAATAAATCAATTCATACTTGATAATTCCCGACTCTTCTCTAGAACTTGCATAGCTGGCTCTTCGACCTGACATATGTTTGATTGTGTGCTGGTGAATGGAGGTATAAAAATATGTGCATCTTTCAGCTCTGCGGCTTCAAAGTGCCCTGAGGCGTGCAGTTTTGCCTGAGAATCACTATGACTAGAGTGGTGGTGGTGATGGCTAGAGCTATGGAATGTAGGCAATAGAGAACACTCCAAACTGTCCACAGCACAATGGGGTAAAGACCACAGCCTCTTGCTGGCAGTGGGTGCAACAGGAATGGTTCCTGTTGACAGCGACTGAGGGTCAGAGTTTGAGAATTGCTGGTGTGTAATGGAGACAGTGTCCATAAGGGCACTGAGGACAGAGATCTTTGGACGAGATGTCAATGTGTCCAGAGACAAAGCCCTGGTGCCATTCGACGTCTTTGACAGTTTTTGAGACAACTGGTCCCAGGAGGTCGACTGGTACACCGTTTTGGGTAAACTGCCTCTCCTATTCAGAGAGGTACATATGGGATAGCTCTCCCTCCTCATTTGAAGTTTAAAGACGTCTCTTCGAGGTAACGCTGGTGGCATACTATGCCGCCTAGCACCAAGGAGAGACTGAATCTCCGCTGGCATTAATAACATAGGGAGCTCATCATCATCATCATCATCATCAGCCTCATCACCATATTTGCTATCTGTATCTCCCTCAGCATCTATGGCATCAAATGTGAATGAAATGTTGTCCACAGGGGACTGAGCTGGGCTAGGATCACTGGATTTGGAAACTGTACCCTCCTCTAAGTCAGCCTCAGGTTCATGCATAGTCTCTAACCAGTAACTCCTGTTTAAGTTAATGTTATTTAGTAACTGTTTACTGAGATTAGAGGGTATAAACCGCTGCCATTCACTGAATAAGGGTCCCACAACAAAGTCCATAAACCCTAAATAAAAGAGATGGAGCATTATGGATTTGTTATTGTGAAAATTCTTACTTATGAATTGTCTATGAAACAGAGTTTAATTAAAAATCTTTGGATTGTCCAATTCATTCATTGAAAACACTATACCCAAGATGAAATGTTATATAATATGTCATACGATGGTATTCAATCACTTAAGTCCTGCTGGATGTTGTTATGGTATTATCAGTTACCTATTTGTATTTTGGCCACTGTGGTTGAGTTTCTATCACAGACTGGTGTCACAGGAAGCTGAAGGTCCCTCTCACAATCACCTAAAACATAAGGGCAAAGACATGGGGGGGGGGGGGTTATAGCTGACTAGCTGACTGTTAAAGATTTATTTCTTCCACTTTGATTTTTATGTATTAATTGCCACAAAGTAATATACTGATCCTGTTAAATGGATCAATTTTGACAAAATATTGGATTATTACTATTTTGACAAAAAATAATTACTTCCAAAGTCTCCTGATAACAGTTTTAATTGCATGAGGTAGTCCACTAAAAACACTAAACTGAGAAGGTATGCAGCCATCAGATACAAGAATCTGCTTTCACTAAAACCAAATTCAAGTTTCCTGCCTTACCCTGTTTAAAGAACTCTTCACACACACTCTGACTCCACTTCCGGCTGATGTCGAGAGGGCGACATGGGTTACTGATGTCAGCACATTTTAATGCTATCTGAAGAATACAAAGAAAAATAATACCACATGTACCAAAGTTCAATGCCTATCACACAAACAAAAATTTTATCCACATTAACATCCACATTAACATTTGTATCTTGAAATATACTGTTTTACTGGAGGCAAGGTTGGGTTGATATGCAATAAAAGAGCTATGTTCTGCCTCCACAAAATTCAATCATCAGAATCAGGAAATATCAATTTCTAAATTTTTAATTTAGGACAAAAATTCCACTCTTACAGACCAACAAAAAAGTACACATTGACAGAATCACAAGAAAATTAAAATATATACTACAACTCACTTGCATAACAAAATGCCTGTGTTCCTCCTTGTCAAGTTGTAAATCACCATGGTCGTTATGTTTCTGCAATTAAAATAGGCTTGATAACTCCTTTAAAAACACAAGCATAATACATAAAACAATCTATTATTAACAATAACTTAATAAACAGCAGACATCCCCTAGGATATCACACTTTTATCTCATAGCAAATAATTTCTGTGACAGTCTCCACTGATTGAAAGAATGAACATTCACTGCTGATATCAATGGTAATAGTCGAATTCCATTTCAAACTGTCCAAATAACATTGAACAGTGGTCAAATCTGACATAATCTGAAACAAACTAGCTTTCAAAATTACAAAATATATGAGATTGATTCATTCTATGTCATTAAAAATAGCAATTTTATCTCTACAGATCTATTCCTGAATCCAAGCTGACCTTGAACTTGCTGAGGAACTCCTGCTGGCGCGTGATATCAGTGGCAAGGATCAGGGACTTGAGTTGCCGCACACAAAAATGCCTTGAATCAAAAGCATTATCTCAACTAAATGATTCTTATTAAAATACAATCCAATAAAAAGCTTTGGGAATATACTTTTTTGAAACTGTGCTGTAGTCGTTTCATATCATCATACATAAATCCTGAGGGACAACATTCTTTTGTCTAAGATTAGATCTGGGCAAAGTTTCACTTTTTACAAATAACTTTAACACTTCTTTACTACTGAGATTGTCAACATTAAATTGAATGTCATTCAAAACCATTCATATGCAACTTGCATAACTCTTCAAACATAGGTCAGTTATGAATCTCCTCTATAAAGACTTGTTGTTCTGTCTTTGACAAATGTGGATAAGTGTCTTCTTACCACTGCCTTGCATTGAGATGACTGAGCATTCCAGACTCATGGAGTATCCCAACTGTTGTTCTCCAGTGATGATTTTCTAAAACTGATGTGTTCTGATGAAAGGAAAGACAACATTCATAGTTACACATGACTGATACATTCATAATAGAATTGAAACTACACAAAAAAAAAAGTCGAATAGATAAAAGTTTTGATTTTACTTTTGAAAAGATCTGCCTCCATTCAACATTACCCTCCTCCTGTTTTTATATCAACCTCTGATCATTTATATTTGAGAAAAAAAAATTAAATCATAGCATGAAACAAGGCAATTCTGGAGAAGCTGCTGGAAAAAGACTACATGTTTAAATTTTATACTGGAATGTCACCAATTTACTCATTATATTCATGGTATAGATAAAGTACGAGGCGCTGAGCTTTAAGAGAAATAGAGCAGATAATTGGCGAGGTGAAGCCGAAACAAAAGAATCTGGCTTAAAGCACGAGTAATTAACCCTGTGCATTGGTGCATGGAACGCATTCGTGGATGACGTGACTTTACACGAAATAAAGCACGGCGCGACCTATTGTCTTTTGACAGGAGAGTACTTAAATCCTGATTAAAATGACTGAATCCTACCTGATATAATGAAGCTAAATGATTGGAAGTTGCTATGAGGAATGACTGGTTCACTCCAGGATGGTCCACATCATGGCACATTGCTGCCAGCAACCCCACCAGAATCTCAAGTTGACTGTAACAATAGGCTATCTGAAAGCATGCACAACTGACATTAAATCTATCCCATAATGTTAGACTCTTGAAAATCACTTATTGAATTATTATTTAAAACGTAGCACCCAGCAGGTTTCTTTTGCCTTTACCGTAAAAGCAACAAGGGGCATTTACCTTCCAAAACAATTTGTTTGCATAAATTACCAAATTTTAATAAATATTTGAAAACTTGGCTTGTACTGAAACATATTTGCATAAAGAATCATAAACTGCAGGTACAAACCCATAAATTTTACAAATATTCAAACAAGTTGAATTAAACTGGGGGATTCAATTACACTGAAAATTTATACAAAGTTGTGAACACTGTCTAAAGGATGCTGGTCGATATTTTTTTCCTATTCAACATTAATATTCAGCTACCTTTTGTTCTACTAAGAAGCAGTTCATAGCTTGAGTGACATCTGCTGCATGGACAGCATTGTGGTACGGGTTACTACTGTGATAACCATCTTCAATTAGAGCTGCAAAAAGAAATACAAGAAATAGAACTACGTCAGCAAAATTGACCTAGCCCACATCACTGCTGATAATACTGCAATATGAATGGTTAAGAAAGAAAAGGCTATCTTGCAGCACATTTTATTTACCTTACATTTCTAAGAAATGAATACCCTATGAAGGCATTCAAAAACATTAATCAGTATTTCCATGCAAACCTCCCTTTTTTTGGGTAAACAAAACTGTGAAAACAAGATGTTTTGATAACATCATCCTTGTACTGTTTAAAACCTCTTTTTATGGGCCAATTTTTTTTCTAACCAGGGAAGTTAATTTTTTCAAAACCTTACTGAAAAATGCTTTAAAAAATTTCAATACTTACATAAACATCGCATTACTTTCACCACGTCAAGGTGAAAACATTGTATGAGCTTGTATTTGTGGAATAAATGGAAGGCAACTGAGTACAAGGCGCGTCCTGAAAAAATAACATTATCACATCATCTGAGTAAATTTGTCCGATCCAGTCAAGAAGTGCAGAATATTGAACAAAATTCCCTTAGTGAACATAGTTTTACTAAGTGACTGTAAATGACATGATATTTGTCACGCACCTTGTGACCTAGTTATGCCATCTTGGCGAGCTCCTGCCTAATAGTGCACTACATACTGTCAGTAAAACTAGGCTCGCAGGAGGTGCTATATATATATATATATATATATATATATATATATATATATATATATATACATATATATATATATATATATAGGCTAGGGCCTCGCTCAACATAAACTTTTTCATGAAACCCACAGTAATTACATGCACATGAGTTAATAACTAAGAATAAGTCTGATTTTTTTCTCCTTTTATACTTACTGTCCTAACTGAACTAGGAGACCCTCAAAGACCTAAACTCTCTTTTTTCTTCATTAATTTTTACACATTTGGGTATGAAACTATGTGTGTGACATTTTACAAACATGTCATAATTGTTAGTATATGCCAATGTATTCACTTTCATTGATAAAACAATTCAATCAATTTTTTCTTATTCTTTCATTTGCTCTTTTTTTTATCTTGCTTTGTCTATCTATCCATTACAAAAACATTATTTCAAAACAAACAAGGCCCCACAGGTTCCAAAAACATTCACTTGGTGAGAAAATGTCAAATGTCTAATACTTCTTTTCAGTGGGCAATAATATGATCTACTTGCATAAAAATTTTCTATTGGCCCCATTATTAAACTCAAATGATAAAATTACATAGCCTTCATTTAACTTATAGTATAACATATAGTAAAATACTTGTAATAGCAACACAAAATTAGACAGCATCTCACAGTTCTTTTTAAGTGCTGCTTCCATGTATACACACCCCAGCTCTTCTCAAAGAGCACTAGCACTTCCATTTAAAAGACCTTGTAATCTATTACAACACATGATGAACCCATATCAAATTGCTGTTCTCATTCAACTGTCTATTAACAGTGAACAACTGCTCCATTAGTGCACTTCAGTGGCATCACTCTAATTTCATTAATGTTTCCAAACAACAAGCAAAACTTGGAAAACTGATGATAAAACCCTAGGGAAAATGTACATGGGTAGGATCAAACAAATAAAGCCGAGAGAAAACAAAGCAAAATATTGTCTTTGTTTACTGCCGTGAGGCAGAGATTATTCCTAGCAACTGTTTAATAATGTGACTATGTAATATTAAAAAATTCATTTTCAAGGGAAATTGTCAACTCCTATAATTAGTCTTTTGAGATGGCTAGATATTTTGGTTTCATAATTTTTTACTCCTGGGGGCAACTGTCAATATAATTTCAACAGCACTATAAATAAGACTGCAATATGGTGCCTCAATTTTTTTCTGAAATAGATACCCAAAAGCTAAAATTATGATTAACTTCTATGGCCTTCTGTCTTTTGGAACTCAAACAACTGGGACTTAATAACAACAGATATGAACACTTTATCCCACATACATGTCTACTTCTTTGGAAAAACAGAGTATAAAAATGATGGATTGAGCTTGAAAATGGTGTTTGTTAGTATGCATGCATGTGTAACATATTTAATATGTTGCACTGGCAGCCATTTTGAATTTCTCAAAAAGTTAAAGATTAGGGGACAAAATTACATATTTCAACATATCCCATGACCACATCACATGCAGGTATATTTGACACTATTATCATGTTTAAATACAAATGGAAGCAGGGAGGTGCTGGTTTTTGATTGCTCATAAAAGTATAGGCAGTCGTTTTTTATTTTTGCTCATGAAATATCATTAAAAGGGACTCTCCTACCAAAATCTATATTTTTACGACAGGTTCAGCTAAAACCACAACCTGCCTGACTAAAAATTTACGTAAGTAAGAAGCTGGTGGTTTTGTAAAATAATTCTGCAGAAATCATATTAAACTGAAGGAAGCCTCTGAGACTTTTTCAAACCACAAATTAGTTCACAATTTGAAACAGGTTGTCAGTCATTCGCAGCTTCATGCTACAGATCTAATGTACTCTGTTTCTATTACTTACCACAATAGCACTAATATTGTGAGTATGAAAGACCTAAATTCCTTTTATTGTCTCATTAATAAATGGGCAAAAATTTCGGAACGAAACTACTTGGCTACAAAAGACAAATTGTTCCATCACCCTCATCTTTACAAAGTTAAGAGTTGTATGATAAACTGAATCATCTTTAAATCTCCAAATCCTACAGAACTTAAGGGAAAATACTCAATCTCATTTCATAGTACCAAAGATCAAAACTAAAACATTTCTGCAACATTTTTATTCCTTTTTCTTTACCTAGTTTTCAGAGGACTGTGTTTATTTGATCTTAGTGTACAAATCTGCTTTTTTTTTAATTTCTTCACACTAATATATTTGTATAACTTCAAATCTTTTGGTTATTTAGTGTTTTTTATGAATGTATTATTATTATTATTATTATTATTATTATTATTATTATTATTATTATTATTATTATTAAAACTTATTTTTATATCCTTCAAAATTTTACATATAATGACATGTCTTATCAGGAGAAAAACTGGGACAAAAATTCACGTAAAGCCTATAACTATAACATGTACTTCAATAAATCATTATCAATAAAACACTATCTAGAAAACCAAAAATACCCACCACTGGTAAGGCTGTCGAGACTAAAGATGTTGAAATTCCAGTCAGTTATCCTATGTAACAGGCACTGAAAAATTAACAGGGAAAATATTAAAAGGAAGATAGAAATATAAACAGGAGTAAAACATTGAGCAATACCCAAAAGCTGTCTATCATTTGTAATATGCATTATGTTCTGAATAAAAGTTGTAAAATATAGATTAATTTCTTAGAATTTCCTGTAATTTGCTAACATTTCTAAAAGATTTGTTCACAAAAAAAATCTTTTACTGAATGAGATCACACCACAGGTTCCTGCTGTCAAACCCACAACCCACAACCAACAGCCAAGAAGCCACAGCAATTTTTTTCAGAGTGAAGGTAAAAAAGAAGTAGATGATAAAACTCGATTGATAGTAAAACAATGTTGTGCCATATACACTTCATGACAATGCTGTGTGTGAATTTTCCAACTAAATGGCCTTCTTGAGTTACCCAGTTCAAATATTATTTTTTTAGTGGCACAATGTGTGTGCTTTAGTACCCCTTATACAGCAAACACTTCATTTCTCTGGCAAGATCGTCACTTTTCCCTGAAACATCAAAGTCTACCAAATCTAAAAGCACTGACAAAATTACAGTCTACAGACTTATTTTAGGATTCTAAGTTTCTAATCTATGAACCACTCTAGTAGCAGAGAGGGAGACTGGTAAATTGTATTGGTAAAAGTAAAAAAAAAAATAGAAATTTAGATCCCGAAAATTGGCTCACAGATCAACATATTTTGACAACACTTTTGGACAGAGACTGAGTATGTTTTGGTAATAAAGGGATACTGTTAAGTGTAGCAAAACCACACAACAGGCAGGAGAGTGAAGAACGAAAGCCACTGGAAAATGAAAGGAATCAAGCAGACCAGATGGATTAGGAAGAGCCTAAGTAACATCAATAATAGAGCCAAGGGCAGACACGCTGTAAATGACTTTAAGATGACCCCCCCCCCCCCAGTGTGACACTACTAGGAACATTAACAACAGTTCTTGACCCCTGGTGACACAAACAACACCTGGTGACATCAGCGTGGACTGAACATGATGTCATACTGACATAGAAGCACACCTGTGAGTTCTATTAAATATTAGTTTCAGACAAAAGAACATTTCAGACCTACATTTGTATTTATTCTGTCAAACCTAAAAAGTACTGTTTCAGAATGCTGATAAGTGATACTAACACCTTAAAAATAACCTGTTATCAAATCACATGAATTTTACTTCTTTTTTTTTATTATGAGAAATCCATAAAGCATACGTCAGGGACATTTTGGCTTGACAGGGTTTAATTCTGCTGATGTAAGCCAGCATTTATAGAAAAGCTTTCCTTTGCATAACACATTGATATTGACACATTGAGCATTCTCACATCACTGTACAGGGAATTGTATTAACTACAGGGGCTTGCACAGCATGTATGTGTGCGTCATACACATTATCTATATTCAATAAACCCAGTAACACAACTACTTTCAGCTACCTCTCCACAAAGGTCTTTCACAGCAGTTAATTGTATCCTAGTTGAATGTGGAAATAAAGGACATGCTTCTTCTAATAATTCATAATATTACTTCATTAATGATGATAAAATTATCATAACCTTGGATGGGATTCATAAAAGGTTGTTTGAAAGTCAGGTATTCTTGCTCTGCGTTCAAAAAAATCTATGTCGACTTCAGAATCTACCTATCCACCCATCCATCTACTCAGATTCTACTCCGACACTAAAATCAGATTAAAATTAGATGGATTACAAAAAAATAACAAAATGCATAACCTTAATACAATTTTCAATTAAATCATTTTATTCTGATTCCCTGAGCTTAAAAGACTCAAAAACAAAAGTGGCTTTGAATACCAAATCAATTATGTCTGGAATGAATTGTTTCAAGATAAAGAGGAATTTTTGAAAAGGGTTTTATATCATCTTTTGCGATGTGACAAGCATTTATTGCTTTTCAGTCAAACTTGGATGCTAGTAGGCGAGATTTATGTTCTCAAGGTAAGGTTACTATGAAACATGAGTCAAATGACGTAAAAGAATCCTCTGAGTGAGTTGACAGCTGATGCAGAAAGAAAAAACTTATGAGGATATCCTTGACATATGTTCAGTATTTTGTATTGGAAAGCAATTCATTTGTAAGCCCACCTGGACATTAATTACAACCCCTATGTATATTTACATATACACAGAAACTTGTATAAATAAACATGCAACCTTTGCAAGATATAGCTATTATAATGGAAACACCCAGATTTCAGAATAAAACACAATCTTTAGTTATAGTTTGTCAAAACAGCCTTTTCAATGACAGTTTTTAAACTTGAATGTGAAACGATTTTAATAATGGTCATATTGTTTATTATTCAAATCATAAAGAAATGTTTTTGGTCACATCTTTTGGTTAATAAATACCCTGCTGTGCCTCATTTTGATTACAGATATCCTATTCTATCATCAGAAATAAAGAGCAAATCATTATTTTATCGGCAAAGCATATCAGATAAACTTATTCAAAAATGTTTTTTCCAGGAACTTTTAAGTTTTTTCCCATCCAAAACATCTGAGAAAATTATGAACTATAAACTACTTTTCTAGTTCTAAATTTCCATTTTCACCATCACTGTGGAAATTCACCAGTCTCCATCTTTATTAAAATGAGTCAAAAATTGGAAACCTATAGCTCATGAACTGGTTGATGAAAAAATAATTTTGTCATGGTTTTAAAATTGAGAAATATGGCATACCTTGGTGATTCAGGGAAAAGTTGAAATATCCAGGAAAATTATAATTTTTATCATTATTATTAGTGCTATATAAATGTCTAAGACAAATTATAATTACTAACTTACACATAAAAATATGGTTATCTAATTATCTAAATTTATTTTGTCTCATTTTCATTCGTTCTAATAAACAGTGTCTACCTCCTCTGTTTTTGTGCTACCTTACGTATCTACCTTAGCTGGACCATTGTAATAGTGGTCCAATATGGAAGCCGTTTCCTTGGAGACCCTGAGAATGGAGCGACGTTTGTGTGGACCTTTGTGCAAGGTTAAAAATCGAAGACTGCATCTTGACCTGTATGTCTTCCCATCTAAGTCTGAAAATTGACAGTGGCACTTATATTATCTCAGCCAAAATTAGAGAGATGTTTGGCATGTTTTTAAATGTGTACTAATGAGCTTTTTATAACATAAGTTATATATATTAAACTTTATAAAACAGTAAGTATTAATCTATACACATAATTACAAAAAGAAAATCACATTTGTTCTAGCATGTATGAATATGCATTGATAAAAACATTATGATTATCAAACACTTGGCAAATTTCTTTCATTCTAATATTTTTAATATTTTAAAATTTTACTTGCAAACAAGTAATTAAATGTTGAATCCTTTAATTTCTAGATTAATATTAACAAGTTCAATGTGTTAGTGTAACTCATAAAGTAGACAAGTTTTGAAAAAAATGCCATATCATTTATGATTTGATAGGTTCTGATATAAAAGATGAGGATGACTTACTGTCTAAGATTTGAAAATCTGGATCAGAGCTCCGTCTTCTTTTGTTCTGTGGCGAGGTATGATCCTCCCCTATCCCCATCTGAACTTTTACATCACCTGCAAATAACAAGATATACCAGACAATTATCAGTTCAAGTCCTAAGAAGTTTCAGGATTGCAACTTTTTAATGCCTCTTTTGTTGCTCATGGTAAGGTGCTAATGAACAATTGTATTCCTAAAAACAACATATATATATAAATATCTTCTGGTGATCCTAGATCATTTACACTTAAATTCCAAGAACCTGTTTAAAAATATATTATATTATGTAATTGGAATGTAAAACTTGCAATAATTGACAAACAGAAGCAAAAGAAACATTGCGTGAGGTAATGTGTCATCAAATTGGACAACAATGAAACTCAAAGTCATATATTTCAAATCAAATCAAATAGCACTAATTTAACTTGAAAACAGGTAATGGAACAGAAACCCATTCAGAATTCTGAGAAAGACCTTGCAATGGTTGGAGCCTGGAACCTGGAGCCTTCAATCATAATGCTGGTTCACTTTTTACCTGCAGTCCAAATTGATTTGTAGACCCTAGCAATTACTGGCGAGGTCTGAATAACTTTTTTATTAGACAACAGGTCTCAATCTCAAACATATGCTCAGTTGAAAATCATGTCATGTCAAATTTGACACATGCATCAGCATGTAAATATTGGTAACTATGAAGATGCAGCACATTGTGACATAATATGTAAATGCACATGTATGTTTATGGTCAATTTTGACACATTTAGTCTTAAAAAGAGCCAACTAAATGCTTTCATGTTCATCTTTTCCTTACTTCTACAGCCAAATCTACAATAGATCCAGGGAAACAGGCTTCAGAATTTCTACATTGGATCTTGCCGAGATATATGGGGGCTCGCTGAAGGCATGCTCACATCCTTCCGGAGAATTTTCCATTTCCTTACAAGCTGAAGTAATGCCACTTCAATCTATCTATTAACCTTCTACTGTTCTTTGTTAAGATAACTGTCCTTCCTTTAGCTATAGTATTCCCAGCAGAGGACTATTCTGCTCAATTCTTAAACTAAGCTATATAACAGACATGCCTCAGCAGACAAAGTGAGGCCTATGGGTATTTCACTTAGATCGCCAACTAGATTGATATAGGCATGCAGCCCTAGCTCAAAATAGGACAGAAATGAAATGATTTTTAGAGAAATATAAACCTGCTTTAACAACCAGAGACAATTGCATGCATGATTGCCAGTAATGGAAGTGTGACGCACATACTGCTTATATCATAAGCCAAGTTCAATTGTGGGCAGCACACAAGTTGGACACCTACCAAGGTCATCATATTGCAGATGAGAAATAAGCAACCTGATAACATTCTTTCTTTTAAAAATGTTCTCTTTTTGGTATCAAAATACATAAAGAGAGAGATGACAACTTTTTGTTAGCACCTTACATATCATGTGGCCACAAGGCACAATTATACCTGTGGCATGTGTACTTTCCTTTACAGGAAAAAATACAACCATTAAGAGACGAGGAGAGACTTTTTGACAGCTCTTGTACACTTGGTGCATAATGATATTTCCAAGAAATGAACACTTGTTTCATCTGCCCCAGTGTAATAACACCTCTTCAATCTAAGGTTTCAAGGCTTTTAATAGCAGTGGCAACAGCTGACTGAATGGAAACGATGACCCAAGATCACATATAGATGCATGTTGTCCACAATCATCTATGGTCAATATTTCAATATACACCTTATATAAATATAACTGTTAAAATTTATTAATGAATTTTTTTTTATCAGATATTAAATGCAACTTAATCAAATGCATGAAAAAAATTATTGAGCATATATACCATGTTAGCATGTTATAAAAGTACAACTCATGATTCAACCAAAGATTGATCTAATCTTTCTTTCTTAAACATCAAAATAGAACTAATATTTCAAAGAACAGTTACATCTATTTGATCTATGATCATTTCTGCAGAAAATATGGCAAAAAAAAAACATAAAAAAAAATTGCACATTGATCTCTATTAAATGAAACTGTTAAAATTAACCAGATTTGTCCAAATAAAGCCCATCAAATAAAATGTGTACGGTAAACAACCTGGCCCCAGAAAAAAAAAACTTCCAGCAAGGCAGACCTGGGGCAGAAAAAAAGCCATTCTACTCAAACTGCTATCTTAAACCAAACGTTTTAGTGAAATTGTGTCCTCCACATTATTGTAATTTACCACACTAATAATGACAAGAACAAATGTATCACAATGCCTGGATCTAATCTGGAAAATTAGAAACATGCACATTCCAGTGGAGTTTTCCCCGTCATTCCTTCCCAAAAATATTCTATAAAACTGATGCTTATTACAAAAATATTCAACATACAATTCATAATTGCTATGAATTTCTATCAATTCAATATGGTGTCATGTAATCTAGATTCATACACAGAGAGTCTTCATGTTTAACAGCCATATCTGAGCTAGGTGGACCATCAAATGTAAATTGTTTCAATATCACATATGTTCAATTGAATTCCTTTTTGCTGCATGCACTGATCACACAGCGACCATTCCCTGACCTGAACACGCAGCTTTAACTCACCTCTCTTTGCAGGCACACCACATAGCAATTGTAGCAAGGGTTGACAAAGCCAACTAAAAAAAGCTTCCATTTCACAGACAGCCTTTAACCAAATGCTAGCAGCTCAGAGATATAGCTGCTGATGTTCTCACAATAAAGCCTTGGTGTGAATTCAGGATACAATGCAAGAATGCCTAATGAATGCCGTCTAATTCTGATCCATAACAAATGTATTTAACTGTAACTTAAAGGGAATCCAATGAAGTCAGTCACCAACTAATGCACACAAACCTATTCTCCAATAGGACAGGTCTGCCCTGAATTTCGGAGCAATTATAATAAATTAATAATCTGTCCAGAATTACAAGACTTAGTTTAATATGCTGTTGGCTGCTTTTATGCGTATTGGCCAAAGGTAATGGGAATCAGGACTGAACCTGTATGATAAGTGCATCATTTGATTATCATGACCAAGTATATTTGAGGGCAAAAGAAACTATACACCATAAACCATCTAATGTTCAATCACATAAATCATTCTTTGCAGCTGAAACTTGGTCTTTTTTCCATGTTCACAATAAATCACCACAGGTAGTGATTAATACTGCACAGGTGCTTCTCCGTAAAAACAATATATAGGCAATTAAATTACGGAAAAAAACAAGACAGCTATTTTCATTGCATCTACTATTATCCTAATGATAACACATGATATAGCTTCTTCTTAACCCTATAGACTGGATGCTTTGCCTGAAAAGACACTTATAGAATGATATAAAGTGACATATGGTTTCATTTCAAAGTGATGGACCCCAAGGAAAAAATATCAATGTTAGGGAGCTAAAATTGGCAAAAGGTGCGAAAAAAATTTGACACTTTAGTCGTTGACTCTCCTTATTAATTGACAATAACTTCAAATTCAGGCATTTGAAGACCAAAAAATCTTAGATTTACCTTAAAATATTTTTCAACAGCATTTTTAATTTGCCAGAGAAGGGTCAAGAAATTATTTTATAATAATTATTATATATTTGGCACAGAAAACAATCTAATATCTGGGAAATGATGTCTAATAAAACTCCTGATGTCATGAACAAAATACCGATGACTTACGCCATAAGTAAATGATGGTTTTTGACAAATCAGAGTAATAGAAATACATTGTCATCATCAGACAGCAAACATTGTGGCGTATTATAACATTTGCTGTTATCATGAAGGACACTGACATTGATGTTTTAAATTATATTATAAAACAATTATTGGCTCATGATGTTTTGCATGCCTCAGCCTAAGTCAATAATTGTATATAATTAAAACAGTTTTCTTTATATAAAACAAGTGACATAATGATTGGAATGTTTAATTATTCCTCGTAAATGTTTTTGCCTCTTTCAGGCTCTTCAGACAATAAAATGATTGTGTATTTATTGTTACTAGGCAACTGTATTGTCTATTGTCTTATCTTAACGACGTCAAGCCCCGAATTTGAAACGCCTTCTGACCACTGCCAAATTTTCTTTAAACAACATTAAAGAAGTGAAAAAATGTGGGGACAACATGTGACCTAATTATAGAGGGTCAATCATTGACTTTAAATACAGGGAAGGTACTAACACCAAATGACAAAATGACTTAAAAATCACAAAATGTCATTTACACAGCAATATGTCCCACATACAATGAATTCTTTATTGGCCAGACAAGCATACTATAGATAGAATTCGAGTTCATCAACAGCAGGTGAAAGACCCGAATGTGCCCCTGCTCAGAACACTTTGAACAAGGCAGCAAAGCTGTCAAATGTACAGACAAAAAACAGAAAATAAAGATGCAAAATAGGTCATTTTGTCAATTTTGATGCAATAATAAATAATGCTTACAATAGCACTGTCAGTCAACACTGAATTTTAATCATGCACAACAGGTAAAATGGTCAATAACATGAGCGGACCCAGAGATATTTGCGGACAGTATTCNATAAATGTGGGCGTGGAAAATTTAGGGTCTTCCCATTCATTAAAGTAAATTCGAATGATAAAAATGAACGCAGGACAAGGGAAACACATTTTACAGTTGCCATATGAAAGGAAGAGGAAGAAATTATTTGCTCGGTTCAATCATTAGTTGGTGTTGGTGGCAAGAGCGGGAGTCACCCTGTTTTGCTCGAGCAGTAACACCTTGACAACCGAGCAGTGCGATAAATTGTTAAAATACTGAGATGGATACTTGAGCGAGGTGGGCAATTATTGAAGGTGGGGGTCAATAAAGACGCCAAATGTGAGTTGGATGTTTAGCTGAAGTACAGGGAGGGTTGGTGGGTTAAAATAACATTTCTTACCTTCTGCCGGTCTTGTGTTGTGACGCGTTATGTAGATATGGTATTCTTGTACACTTTCTGTGACTCTGCGGTCAGGTTGCTGGGAATGATCTGATGATGGACGCATACGGTGAACACGTTGCAATTAAGTATTAAGGAGCTGACCTGCA